CTCAAGGAGTTGTTTTTTAAATTAAACTTCAGTTTCATTGGTATATATATAAAAAATAAAATACTAGTCTTAGTCGGAGAAGAAGTCGGTATCAAGTTGTAAGAAGAACTTCGAATACTAATCGAAAAAGGATTCTCATCCCATTAATCCGAAAAATTATTGTATATTATTATTGTATCATTATTTTAGTGCAACAAGTATTAGTGCCTCTCTATTTGTTGTTGTTTAAATTCTCGTATCAGTTATCACTTTCTCTAAAAATTAATATTTTACTATGCTCATTGTGTCTGTCTGCACAATCTTATGTGGTACAACAGCTACACACAATATTTTCTCGTATAAACTTAGTCAGAGAAGGAAGCGATTCTGGCGCAACACGCTCTTTCCCATCGAAGATGTATAAATAAGCAGAAGAGCTAGGAGACGACATAACTCATATCACACAGAAAGCTTTATCTATCGTTTTCTTCACATTAGCTTTTTTGATAGGGATCATCCACAGGTCGGACCATCCTACCTATTCTTACCAGAACACACAACCATCTTCTTTGAAATAACCATTAACCCCTCTTTAACCATCGGACCATCGAGTGATGGGCAAATCCACTGCGACTGAGTTGTGGATTTCCTGCCTTGGAAATTTACGGCGGTACATCACTTCTGCTTGAGGTGTGCTTCTCTAATCCGACTCTGCCATTATTGAGCTCATAGCTATGGGTTGAGTTATTGCGAAGGTGGTGGCTATTACGGAATTTTTACAATAACAGCACAATAACCTCCATCACTCCATGACTTTCTCCACCAGCTTATGTCCTGGCCGGTAGCAACGACAGAGTCCGGACCACAATGGATTCCAATTCTCACCGTTACCCTATCCCACATGGCCCGTCCTCAATCAGATCCCCCGCATCAACAATTAATCAGTTTTGAATTTCGGGATTGCTCGAAGCGGCGGAGAAGACATCGACCTCGCCAGAAGAAGCATCCAGCAGGCTTAATTCCCTCATCTAATTCAGTGTTGACGGCCCCATCTTACCCCCGAGATGTGACAGTAGATCGCAACGTAAACATCAGCTGGTATGGCGACTGGTGAAAGCGTTGAAAAAGGGTAACACCATGGATGTTTCTACAGGAACCGGATGAAGTTCGGCTGCTGGCGACAAGTGTGAGGCGATTCTCAATGTTTCAGATAAGGATAAATGGGATGGCACCAGCATGATGTCATCGGGTTCTCAGCCTACTTGGACATGTGTGTTGACTTTAGTTCCCTCCCATAAGTGGACCAACTTGGCAGGCCCAATGGGTCATTCCTAACAATGGGTCAAACTAATCCGCCAAGCTCTTGTCTGATGTCTTTGAATGGGCTCTCATAGCACCAACAACTTGCAAATTTCCCCTGCACATTTCTATCCGGAAGACTCTTAGCAACAGTGCCCCTCCCACGATACACCGCTTTTAGGTTTCCTTGTGTACCTTATGTCCGGTCATCAGTGACCTATGTTGGAAAGTGAGTTCTGTGGAAGATCAACTGTCGACAATCCAATCACAAAGTGCGGGCGCTTTAAACAGTTACAAGGGAGACATTGAGACCTTGATATTGACATTAGTGAGTTGCAGTTTTCCAATTGTATATGTACACCAAAATTTGGTGCTCTAAGGGCACCACGACTTGGAAAGGGTCCAGCTACTGCCGTTCTTCTGCATTCTGCAGCTGTTCAACCTGTTTCATCAACTAGGGATGAAACTCAGATCGAGGGGGTTTCGGTGGTTGCCTCAAAGCAACCACCTAATCAGCCATGAGAATTCTCCCGTGGAATTGTATGGGACTCATCTAATGCCTTACAGTTCGTCTTTTGTGCACCCTCATGTATTATTCTTAATGGAGACTCGTTGTCATATGTTGAAATTGTATGCTTGGCACAAGTCAACTGAATTTGAATATATGGAGGTTGTAGCCCCCACATAATTCTGCTGGTGGTCTTGCTGTTGTTTGGTCATCTACTGTAAATATACAAGCAGTAGTTTAAGGGTGAGCATTTTATTTGTTTGAAAGTAGTTGAATGCAATATGTTGGAATGGTTGCTAGTCTTTGTGTACGGTTCCCCTACTGTTGTAAATAGATCCTCTGTTTGGCACCAACTTAGTGAAGCTATAAGTCCTTTTGATTATTCAGTCCTATTCACTGGTGATTTTAATCAAATCCTCTCTCTATCTGATAAGCTAGGTGGCGACCCAATGAACCCAAATAATGCTTCCTCCCTCCTAGAACTTACATATGCTTTGCGTTTAACGGAGTTTCAGCATAAAGAGGTGTGGTATACATGGACGAATAATCGCTCTGCTCCAAGATACATTTATGAGCGCCTTGATCGGGCTTTAGCTTCTTATACTTGGCTTCACGTATTTTCTCATATTCTTTTGCGAAATCTTCCATTATGCATTCTGATCACGGACCCATGCTTATTGACACTCGCTATCATCCGAAAAAATATTCATTTGCCTCGCTTTGAGGCATTCTGGGCAAAAGATCCTGCTATGCAGCAAATTGTATCGCGTTCGTGGGGAGTGTTTTCCTCGCAAGATCCTCCAATGCAAGCTGTCTCAAGCCAGTTAGCCAGTACCCTACGTCATCTCACTAATTGGCATGATAAGTTGTAAACCTTAGATCATCGGATTCAGGTACTTGAGCATAATTTGGAGTTGGCACAGAAGAATCTTCCAAAGAATTCTACGTCTCTTCCTCAAGAGAAACAACTTAGGCACCAACTTGAACTTAGGCCAATATACCAAGAGTCGTATTGGCAGCAGCGGGCTCATTTGAATTGGAACTTGGAGGGAGACAAGAATACACGGTTTTTTTTCATCATTGGGCTACTCGACGTCAGGGTCGTAATTGGGTTATTGAGCTTCAAAATCCAGATGATTCTTGGGAAGTTAACCCTTTGGCTCTTTTTTGCATGGTAAGATCTCATTTTTGCGATGTTTACACCAGACCCGACTCATATCCGCCTTCACCATCAGATCCAGAGTTACATGCCACTCAAATTACTCTTAGTGACCTTTTTGGAGCACCTACCTTCCCTCAGTACAGCTCAACACGCACATCTTCAATGACCTAGTACTGAGAATGACATACAATTGGCTCTTTGGGAAATGCATCCGTGGAAGGCCCCTAGGCCAGATGGAATGCCGGTAGGTTTCTTCCAACGCTATTGGCAGGAGATTAAGAGCTCTTTGGTCCTGGCGACACTCAGTTTCTTTGAGCATTCTACTTTGGACCCCGATTAAATTCAAACGGCGATTGTTCTTATTCCAAAGGTCAAAATTCCCAAAGTTCCGACAGATTTTTGACCGATCAGTCTGTGCAATGTTAAATATAAACTCATTGCCAAGATTCTGACCACTCGACTTCGACCTCTTATGCCTTCTTTGGCCACAGTCCAACAGACAGGTTTTGTGCCTGGTCGCACAATCAACGAGAATGTTCTTGTTGGTCATGAATTAATGAAGCACATCTGACGTTGATAGCGACCAAAGTCGGGGATGGCTACACTTAAGTTGGACATAAGCAAGGCATATGATCGCGTTTACTGGTTTTTCCTTCGCCAAGTATTGCAGCATATGAACTTTCCTTCAAACTGGATCGACTATTTCATGCAATGTGTTGAGACTGTATCTTTTGCAGTGCGTTTTAATGGTACTCAATCGGACTTTTTCTCTCCATCTCGTGGTCTCAGACAAGGTTATCCCCTCTATCCTTTTCTTTTCATTTTAGCGCAGCAGCCTTTCTCGTCGATTCTCTAATATTATGAGAGTCGTCACACTGATATTGGCATAAATATTGCTTGAAGAGCACCGATATCTCTCATCTTATGTATGCGGATGATTGTTTGCTTTTCTCTTATGCTCGAGTGTCTACTTTTTACCTCCTAACGCGAATCATTGATATTTATGCGCGAGATTCTAGATAATGGGTAAATTTTGAAAAGACTACTACCCTGCAGTTACTGATACTTCATGTTGATAAGCAATTCTTTAGCGACCGGTATTTGGGTATGTCGATGGATTTTAGTCAGAATCGCAGCCAAATCTTCTCTGCCATTAATTAGAAAATTCAACGAAAAATTACATGTTATAAAACTGAGATGTTATCGTTCATTGAGAGGGTGGTCCTTGCTCGTAATGTACTCACTTCTCTTTCTCAGTATGCGATGGGCATATTTAAACTTTTGGTTGCTGTGGCTAATGGCATCGATAAACAGTTGGCTCAGTGTGTTTGGCAAGGTGATGATGAGGGATAAAAAGTACATTGGAAGGCTTGGAATATTGTGTGTCAGTCTCGTTTCCATGGTGGACTTAGAATGCGCTCGGCGGGGGCTATGAACTGAGCTTTGTTAGGGCTGTTGGCTTGGAAAATCGTTAAGCAACCTGATAACCTTTTTTTCTAAACTCTATAGAATTGTAAGCACTCTGATTTTCTTGTTGTTCAAGCAGACAAAAGGTCGACGTGGGGTTGGCGAGGCATCTTGCGGGGATGCGATCTCATGACAATTGGTCTTAAGTGGCAGGTGGTGGACGGTACTCGCATTTCTATTTCAGCTGACTGGATACCGGGTTCCCCCAATCCTTTGGTTGCTAATCTCATTCATCCTGCTGGAGGTTGGAGCCTTCCTGGTTTGCAGGGTCTTTTTCCTCAACACATCATTAATCACATCCTCAGTATATATTTGCCTTGACCTCATAGCAGCCACATGGATTAATTATATTGGGTTTTTGACCCATCGGGAAACTACACTGTACGTTCTGCTTACCACAAGGCTTGTAATTTGCGGGCTGCCTCAATAACTAGGGCCTCTACATCATGTCTTAGTGTAGGGATTCCTACATCTCTATGGAATAAGCTATGGACATCAGCTCTTTCTGAAAAGATGGAGTTTTTTATATAGAGGGCCTTATCTAATGCTTGTCCTACTTCACAAGCATTAGCTCATCGTGGCCTCATGCCTGCCCCGTTATGTTTGCGTTGGGGTGCTCATGAAGAATCTATGGGTCACATGCTTTTGGATTGTGCTAGATCTAGCTCTATTTGGAGAGCCTTAAAGTTTGGCTTTTATTTTTCTTTATGTACTCCTCGTCCTTTTGATCAACGGTTTGTAGATTGGATGCCAGAAGCTCTTGCGAATGACCTACGCTGTTTATCTATGTTCTTTCTTTGGGACATTTGGAGGGATCGGAATAGGGCCATTTTTGATAATGTCTTGCTCCCATCTCCGAAGCAAGTGGTATCTCAAGCCTTAAGTGGATGGCAACTATATCGTCCTTCTCCGCCACCCCTTCCTTTTTCTCCCGGTGGACTTCCTAAGGTCGTCCAGCCTGCTGCTCATTTGTCTTGTTTGCAGATTGATGGTGCTTTTCATCTACATCCCGCAATGGCAAGAGGAGGTTGGGTTTTGTCTGCTCCTGATGGTCAAGTGTTGTCTAGTGGTGGCTGTCTCTTTCCTGCAGTTTCTCCTCTTCAAGTGGAGGCTTTAGCCTGTCTCTTTGCCCTGGAACATATGATTTCACTGGCTCCTCAAGGTCTGCTATTACATACTGATTGTCTGGTGTTAGCTCAAGTCCTTCTCAATCAGTTGGAGCCACCTAGGTAGATTTTGCTTTTGACATTGGATATCAAAAGACAGTTGCAGTACTTTGCTCAATTTGTAGTTACTAAGGTTAGTCGTCAACAAGTGCATGAAACACATGTATTGGCAGGCCAGGCGTGTCTAGCCTATATGTACTTGTATAATAATTTTTCATATATCTATATAAAGCACCAGGTGCTGAGTTTCAAAAAAAAAAAAAACTTTTTTAATAGCTTTCGTTACAGTTTCTCTTCTTCACAGGTTCTTTCTTTTCATACACGTTGTAATAGCTATTACCAATCTTTTGAGAGTTATTCAAGTCATATATACAACTAAAGTAGGCAAAATCGACCGTTTAATTCATCACTTCGGTATTGATATTTGTTTTTTTGTGTACTAAGAGCAAGCCCAATGCTTGGCAATTGGCATGAAAATATGGGTCAATTACTGCTAAAATAATTTCCTCTCATTGGAGAAGGTTGAAAGTAAAAGCCCACGTGTTCTGACATTACAAGTAAAAAGGTCAGATGTGGGGCCAACTATTTTTTATCGACAGTAAAAAAAGAAAAAAAGAAAGAAAGAAGAGGGATGCTGTAATGGTAGGCCATATAATACATAATCTGGTAACTCCCATTGCATGAAAGAAACGTTTTAATGGAGTGGGCCACAAATCTGATGTGGACTGCATGAGATCACTTTTTACTCCATTTGCATTGAGGTTGCTCAAAAGAGCACTGCACTTAGCGAATTGCAAGCAATCGCTTAGAAATTAAGGGCTTATTTGGCCAATATTTTGTTTTAGTTTTTGTTTTGGTTTTTTATTTGGGTTTGAGATGTGATTTAAATGTGGTTTGAGATAAAATTTAAAAAGTTGTTTGGGTGATATTTTAAATAAACTAATAATATTTTTAGACTACCTCCAGCACCGGTGGCGGCGGTGGGCGGTCCGGTGGTGGTGGGTGGTGGTGGAGGTGGTTCGGTGGTGGTAGACGAAAATTGTATAAAAATAATTTTTAGAATATTTTTTAAAAAGTAGATTAAAAAGTTGTTTGGCTAGTATTGGAATTTGTGTTTGAGAGGTGTTTAAGAGCTTAAATGAGACAAAAATGCAAAATGAGTGTTGAGCAAACAAGCCCTAATTTGGAGCAAATCAGAATTCAGACCTCACTTCTTACACTTTTTAGCTCGAACACACACAATGCCTACAATGTGTAATCACACTTATGAGGGACTCAAATTGCAATGTGGGTAGTTAGCTGCAAGATGAAATTAAAACTCAAAAAAAGCTAAATATGAGTTTGTTCGTTTCAAAACCTCAGCTTGTTCCGTGTTTATTTTCTCTTTATTCCCAGTATGTTTGAAAAATATGTGGTTGATTGCTTTGAAAAACGTACCTAGTTAGTTTATGTTTTTCTGTTAACATTCCATTTTTTCACGAAAGATAGAGAGAACTAACTAGGGTATGTTTTTTATTTTTTTGATAAATAACTATGATACGGGAACCTGTGAATAATGATGTTCATCTCACATTTTCATTTCATCTTATATATCAAGTATTTATTGGCCAATGTGTTTCTTACATTTTGGTGCATCGTTTCATACTCTACATATAAATAATTTAATGTAAATACTATATATATACCATACATATCAATGTTTGTCTCATTGATAATCTTTGCAACACTGTAATTTTACTCTTAGGGTTTATTTTGGGAGGTTAGGGTCTATTTATTTATTTAAAATTTTTGGATTCATAATATTTTAAAGTCTCAATAAATCTAACAAAAATAACTAAATTAATTTATTGAGTTTTACCCAATAATTAAATTACCGTAAGTTGAGATGTTATTGCGAGATAAAGTAGGTGAAATGAGCATTATTACTCATAATTTATAGACTCTTATTAATGTTTTTCTCTATTATAAAATGATGGGACATTATCCATTGCAAATGGAGCTGTAAGAGTCATTATTGATAATTCTTTAAGGTTTGTGCTAATAATGGATTAGATCAAAACGGCTCGCTTAAATTCTGACGCTTCTTAATTTGGTGAAGTTGCCGGAAATCAATATATCAATACACCAATACATCTTGGGTCGTACTACTTAAACAGTCTCTCTGTATTTCAATATAGAGGTAGCCTGCGTATATCTTGAATCCCAGATCCCAATCGAGTTGGGAATATACTGAGTATATTGTTGTTATTGTTAAAAAATGATGGGACAAAAAGTGCTTTTTTTGGAGTAAAGAAATGAGTAAGTTAATTTTATAACTATCTGGTTTTTATTTTATTTTTTATAAAGCGTCTACTCTACTTTCTTAGTTTATTGTGCCATAGGGGCTAGAAAATGCAAGAGAGAAAGAAAAGGAAAAAAAGAAAAGAAAAAAGAAACTTGAATCAATATATGTCAAGTCTCTTTTATGATATATATATATATATATATATATATATATATATAATACGGGTGATGGGATATCCAAAATCCCATATGTATTTCATCTAAAGTAATGATATAATTCTTGGAAATATCTACTCCAACGGTATATGTTATAAGATCATTCATGTCATAATAGCTGCCAAAACTAAAAAGTAACATGATTATAATGCGAGAAGCTTGTTGTTTATCGTACCTAACATAATCAAAATGATTGAACATTAGGCTAATAGATTTATTACCTCTATTTTTACTAATAAAATGAATTATCGTTTTCCGCAGGTAATAATTCTTATCCGGCATATGCACGATTATTCTGGCTTTGAGTTTTGAACATATTCTTTTGTTGAGTTTTAAGTCTACCCTTTTGCTTCACCAAATCTAGAGCTGGTTGTACTTCCCCACTTTGGTTTGTATAATTCAGCTGCATTCTCCTGATGTGTATGTATTTCTGGATGACTTTAGAGTTTAGAAATACGCCCTTTTTAATAATAATAATAATAATAATAATAATAATAATAATAATAATAATCTCAAAATGCTTACTAAATCGATTCATACACAAACACATCACAATCCATATGACAACCTAGTAAGAATTGAGAAAAAAATTATATAATAGCTTTGGAAGTTCATCCCCTCTCGGACATAATTATGAATTACAAAATTAAAAAATAGTAGTACAACAATGAAATCCAACTTGTCATCTATAACTTTGCAATACTTCCTTGATCTTAAAACTTATTACATAAATAAATAACAATAATTACTATCATACACCCTCTGATATCCAAATAGCTCAACCGCCACGGCTCAATGCAACATCCAACGGTTTGAAATTTTCAAGTCCACAAGAGATCATAACAGGTATCTTTACTGTACGGCCGCGAAACTCGCCTAAGATGGGCCTAAGCGGTTGGGGCATCTTTCCAACAACAAACTTACCAAACTTCTTTTCAATATGATCATATGAATAAACTGGAACAGCAGAAGTTTCCGCCTTGGGGTTAAGCAACAGAAGCTCACCAGTTGGGAGATTCCCAACTACTTTGACAAACTTCTGAAAAGGTTCATCTCTAAGTCCTCGGGGTAAGCGAACTGCATGCTTAGACCAGCTGATACCCTTATTCTCCGATATGAACAATACAAAACAATCATCTTCGGCCGCACCAGGAGGAAACCACAGAGCTAGATATCCCATGGATTGCGTGATTTTCAAATCCCGAAACTTTAACTTTGACGTCTCATCGTCTCTGATGATCAGATCATCCGGAAGAGTAATCCAACGAAAGTTTTCCTGTCTAAGATCGAAAGACAACAACCTTGGCGACCCATGATCTGTAACCCCAACCCAATAGATGAACCCATCAGATGAATTACTATTCGAAGCTATAAAATAAGGTTCAAGGTTAACCATTGCAGGAGGCCAATCAGTACCAGCAACATCACCACGCTGCAATTCTCTCCAAGAAGATGATGAGTTTCCAAGGGTCAGAATCTCAGCTGAAACACCGTGTGGACAGCTGTAACGAGGAATGTCCAATTTTAGCAATTTATACACTCCAGCTGAAGGGTCATATCCTAAATAAAACCTTCTCCGGAAAAGACACCGTTGATTATCACTATCGAAGGGCAGAGAGGGTTCCGGAAGACTCATACTCTCCCCAGTATGAACGTTCCAAATTTTCAAAACTTTAAGGCCGTAAACACAAACAAGGCCATCTATTATTTGTGTCATCAGATGACTTCTCTTGAACCATACAGACGGGGCCACTTTGCCGAGAATTTCAAATTCTTGTACTGGACCTCCTTCAGCCCTAAGACTGCAGTGAAATAGATTCAGTTCCCGCTTCGAGAACCAAAGTTCAGGGTAAGCCGAGTCTGGTTCTTCATAGTAAACAATCAGGCCCGGCAAACTCCGAGACTCCATAAATTGAGGGCTTTCAATCATTACTTGCCAAGACTTGCACACTAGCTTGCATTCCAACAGACACCTACTTGTCATCCGCCTCAAGATTTCAAACACCAAGTCATCCGGTAGTACCGCTGGGTTTTCCACAACAACAGATGATAATGTCAACCACCAGACAATGATGATAATAACACTCCAAATGGAAACAATCCCTGATTGCCGCTATCTATATATATGTGTGCGTGTGCGTGTATAAATGCGTGCCTGTGTGTCATTGTTGGTGGCCGCGCGGGGGTGTGGAGAAGAAGGGAAGGGATGAAGACAGCTGATTATTTCAAAATAAATAATCAAAGAAATATAAAAAACACAGAATTTCCACAGAATGGAGATATCTTATTCATCGGGGCAATCTCTGGAACACATTTGATATAGGCTACAAGTCTGCTCCCGAGAACAACTTTTAAACATTTTTCTTACATTTTAGATTAAGCCCTCACATATCCATGACACACTTTGCTCCACAATCTTATCTTGATATGGTGCGCATACATTACCAACGAGTGATTTCTCACCTAAACAAATAGGAAATGTCATGCACGGGAGTTTTCAGAAGACTTGTTCAGTTTTTAAATGAGGGTTGTGAAATCGGAAACTAGAAGAGGTCAAAACAGTCACCATTTTGAAGGAAACAAGTCAAAGAATGGACTCCGTAGCAGCTCACAGCCTTAAAAATGTTTCTTATTTCCTGTTTTCCAGCAATATCTTGTTCTCAAAGGGATTTGTTCATCAACTAGTAGGTTGTTAAATATTCTACTTTCAGATATTCACAACCCTGCCAAAAGTTAAATTTGGAGTAGTGTAATCGGTACTGATACTTAACCATTTTTCTAGTCACCCTGTTCTCTCTCTTTATCTCAATCTTTTTCCACTAAAAATCATATCTTTCCTCCAAAATCCCAACTTATCCTATAAAGTATACTCAGTCCCGGACAGGAAATTTACTAACTGTATATCAAATCGGAATACTGAGAATCTACCAAGAAAATCTAAAAAAAATTAACAATCTAACTCCTCAAAATTTTACAACCACTCCCGAAATATAAGAGCAAATGGAAACAATGAATTAAAAGAAAATGGGAACTTACCGAGACGAGTGCAAAAACACAAGAAATTCGTCAAATGTTGTTCCGTGACATAGCCCTGATGACAAAATTTTTTAACATTAGGGCGAGGAGAGGCTTTTCCCCACAAGGTGGTGAGTGCTGGATACATTATAAGGTCGTGGTCCCTGCCCTTTAAATCCATAGTACTACTTTGAGAGCTCTTGCGCTTCACCATCTGGAACGGTAGTCAGAATGGGTTAGAGATTGCAATGATGCTTGGGTATGAACATAATTTGAATTGGGAATTAAAAAAAATATATATTGATTTTTACCTTCTTGTTGACAGTCCCAGGTAAGCAAAAAAGCCCAGATTTCAGTCCCCTTATGGTTGTCCTTTTTCACTTCTTAGAGAAAAATCAGCAGGCCATTGAAAACGGTAACATAAATCAACCTTACGGCGAAGACGGCACTGAAAACAAGGCGAAGGAAAGGTGAAAAATTGCAGTAAAAGAGAAATCTTGTTCTGTAAAAAATTATGAGAGAAAATTATAGTGTTCAAGGAGGAATTAATAGAAGGAGGAAGGGTGTCGTTAGGAACTGAAATCGGCGGCTGATTTGGGTAGCTCCGGCGGCGGCTTGGTTTTACGGGCGAGGAAGGAGGGAGAGGAGAAGAGGTAATATTAAAAGTACTTCTAAATTTTCGTTCGAGGTTAATTAAATACCTGGGTTTCTTCGAAAGTTTCGAATAATTATAGATTGAACCTCAAAGTATGTAAAATCTAGGATATCACGTCTAGTAGGGTAAATCTTTAGTTTAGTCCTCGTACTTGGCTTCTGTCTCATATTTGGCATTTTTTATTTTAATATGTTCACTCTTTATTCGAATAATCATTTTGGATTATATGGGTCAAGCTTTGTATGACAAATATATGCGGCACTTCTGTTTGTTTGAAATTTCAATTGTATTAGTCAATGCCCCAAGTGAAATTCAATATGTGAATCTCTCATAAATCTACTCAAAATCATACTACAACTTCGCTGTGTTCATTTTTCTTAATTATTGTATTACAGACCGTGGCTCATATTGCATTGTGAACTTTTAGCCATTTTTGCTATCGTTTTCCTCATTTTGCAAGCTTAACGCGTGTCTAAACTTTAAAGATTTAACTGTAATCTTCAATTCAATTGGTTTCGATTTTTTTATTCACTCGGTGAAACAGTAACTTCAGTTTTTTTCTAATTTACGTACCCTAAACATTTACATGAGGAGGAAGTTGTGTTGTTGCTCTGTATGAAATGTGCGACCATTTAAATTACATAGTTATCACACACGGGCTGCTCAAATTGGAATGTGGTGGTTAGCTGCAAAATATAATCAAAATTGGGAAAATAATTCTCCTTCCCCTCCAGTATGTTTGAAAAATAAGTGGTGGATTGCTTTGAAGTACTTTGCTTATAGAAGGAACTAATAGCTCCAGTTGAGTTTGTATCCAGTGCACCCGGGGATACCGTGCACCCCAAATCAGAATCAACAAAATTCAGCGGCTCTTCTTCTTCGTCAACAAATTTGATACCCCAAATCAGAATCAGAATCCACCGCCTCTTCTTCTTCGGCCTTCTCGTTCAGCACCGCCGGTACCAGAATCGACTCCCGCGGCTGCCGGAATCGCAGGTCACCAACCCGCCTTGGCTTCGCCGCCCCGCCGAACACGCGGGTTTTTATAAGGTGAGTCCTTTTTCGTGTATGTGTGAGGAGTGTGTGTGTGTGTGAGGAGGCGGTCGGGGGTGCACCACCGGAATTTGCAGGGGTATCGGAAATGGGTGGATAACCAGCAATTGTATGAACATGTAGCTACATAGAAACACATCTAAAAAAAAGTATGGATAACCAGTTTACAACCTGTGGATAACTAGTATAAAATCGGTGGATAACCATAAACAAAATTTGGATAACTAGTTTACAACTTGTGGATAACCAGTTTACACCTTTTGGATTACCACTTTACAACTTGTGGATAATCAGTTTACACTTTCTGGATAACCAGTATAAAATGGGTGGATAACCAGCAATTATAGCATGGACAACCATCACGTAATATTGCTGTTAATTAAAGAAGAAAACTGTGTGTGTGAGGAGAGTGTGTGTGTGTGAGGTGGCGGCTAGGATCGTCGGCGGCCGAAATTCTTTAATTGGAATTCATTTTGGAGCCGCCTGAAGTTGCAGGATGCGCCGGAATTTGCAGGGGTATACGATGCCCTCGGGTGCACCAGATAATTTGTGGCTCCAGTTTGTGTTTTTATGTTAACAATCCTTTTTTCCCCCCAAGAGACGTATAGAGAACTAATTAGGATATGTGAATATTTTACAGACTCTTGTTAATGTTTTTCTTATTTATATTATAATGATACAAAAGGTCCTTTTTTTCCTTGAGTAAATATGTGATTAAATCAATTTCATAACTGTCTAATTTTTATTTTGTTTGGTTAAGTGTTACTCTACATTATTAGTTTATTAGCACCCATATGGCGAAAGCAAAAAAGTTATAAAATTTTTTTTAAAAATCCTCGATCAATGTATTTTGTGTTTCCATCATTTCCTTTGTTTTGATTGAAAAAAAAGCTTATAATCACTAGTGTTATACCCTGCGGTGCACGGTGAGCAAATTAAAATTAAATTATCTTTTGTTTTTAACGCTAAATATGACTATATAATTTCAACAGGTAAGAAAAAGAAAATGAAGGTGTTTAAGAAATATTAATTTTGTTTATAAATAAGATAAAACGAAAAAAATTAAGGGTATATACAAAAATTCAAAGCATTTGTGCCATTATTAAAAAATGTATCGAAAAAAAGCAATACTTCTAAAAGTAACATATCAGGAATTATATATTTTTCAGGAGTGTCATCTAATTATGAAAGGGCTACTTTCTGACGGATCTCATTCTATCTCCATTTTCATCTTTATCAGCATGTCGCTCTACATCGTCTTATTTAAAAAGGTATGAGTCTTTAGTAGGTTAAAAATATGCAATGGTATTGACTGATATTTTAGTATTTTTGGCGGCTTGTTGAACAAACAAAAGAAGAAGAAAGAAAAAGAAAAAGAATGATTCCATAATCATTTTCATCTTGTTACGATATATGTATATATATTTGTATAGGGTTATTTTTGACCTTTGTACGTACTAGGGTTTCCACCATAAACCCTAAATTATATGTATATATAGTCCCTCTGTGGACCGATCAATACAGTATCATGTTTTATGCCGGCCATTTGGTTTGTGTCATGGTATCAGGCTAGGTTTTCTTTGTGGCCGCACCTTAAGATTTATTTTTTCTCTGCCGCCGAAAACTCTTTGTGGCCGCACCCGACCTCTGCCATCGTCGGTGTCGTTGTTGTGTGCTTGTGCTGCAACTATCGTTGTTGCGTGCTTGTGCTGCTGAATTTTTTTTTTTTTGGCCGCACCTCTGTGCACCTTTGTGTGATTGATTCACCCTATGATCTTCTTGTGATTGTGCACTTCGGTGCTGCAACTGTCGGTGCTGGAACTGTGATTGTGTTATTGTGGTGCAACTCTTGCTTCATCGGCCGTCGCTCAACTCCTACTACTACATCGCCGGCCAGTCGTCCTCTGCCAGCCGGCTCCGTTTTCTGCCAGTCGTCGGTGGCTACGTTCTCTGCTCGCCGTCCGGTGTCAGGCTTGTGCTTGCCACCGTCCTCAGCCGCCGCCGGTTTCTGATCATTTTTTTTCTCCTTCTTCTTTTTCCGGCGGTTTCTGATCCATTTGGTAAAAAAAAAAAAACAAAAAAAAAATCCTCGCCGTCTTTGCCTCATGGCGCACGGTGCTGAAGAATCCAGTACTCCATCTCCCACCCTTCTTTTCGCTGGTATTGTTGCTCCGCCGACGGTTCCCGATGTTCCGAAACGTTGTACGATTACTCTGTATGATATTACTGCCGGTGACAATCTAGGAACGCCGATCACTCAGGTTCTGTTGAAGACTGATAATTTTGATGAATGGCCCGCTTCCTCAACCGCCAGTGACGTCACCCGATTTTGAGGATTGGTGGACAAAACAATCTTTGATTGTTTCCTGGCTGCGTAATTCCATCGAGCCATCCGTTCGTTCCACAATTTCTCACCGCGAAGTTGCTTCGGTTCTCTGGACGGATCTGCGTGAACGCTTCGGCGTTGTGAATGGTCCCCGGATTCACCAGCTCAAGACCGATCTAGCGAATTGTAAGCAGAGGGTTTGAGCATGTCGGTTTATTACGGTCGGCTTCAGTTGCTGTAGGAAGAGTTAGCCAACTACGAATCACTGCAGTCCTATTCTTGTGGTTCTCCCGCCGTCCTTGCACAATCGGAACAACGCCGGGAATCTGAGAAGCTGCATAAATAATTATGGGACTAGATGCCTCCCTGTATAGCACGCTTCGGTCGAGTTTGCTCTCTCAAGACCCGCTGCCCACTGTCAATCGCGCCTATTCGTTGCTTGTCCAGGAAGAGCGGCTACGGTCCATCTCCAATGGGACTGATGAAGTTGCAGTCGATGCTCTGAGTTTCGCGGTTTAAGCTCCGCAGTCTGCCTAGCTTCCCACTCCACCGTCCAGCTGGTCTACTTCTCGGTGTCGGTCTGACTCCAAACCGATTGAGCCAAAAGCCAAGTCGATAATTTGCACTCACTGCTCCAAACCGGGTCATGACGTTTCCAGTTGCTTTGATCTTATCGGATATCCCGATTGGTGGCCTAACTCTCGCCGGGATTCAAGTGGTTCGGCTAGCCATGGCTCGGTTGGTCGTGGTGGTAGTTCCTCCGGTCGTGGGCGTGGTGCTGGTTCGGGTAGCTCTGTTGGTCGAGCTAACGCTACTATTGTACCCGGTTCACAGTTTGCTGGCTCTGTGGTGACTGATTCGGATAAAAGTACGGTTACTGGTCTTTCTCCGGATCAATGGTAGACTTTAATCTCCATGCTTGATACTCATCACAAGTTGAGTAATACGTTCTCTGGTAAGCCTTATTCTCATGAATGGATGTTTGATTGTGGGGCTTCACATCTTATGCCGGGTTTTTTTGTCTTTCTTGACGGATTTGAGGGCTATTTCTCTTTGTCCAGTTCAGTTACCCGATGGTTCTATGACTTATGCGTCGCAGTCGGGTGTTGTTCATTTGAGTCATTCTGTCACGTTGCACAATGTCTTTTATGTTCCGGCTTTGAAGTGTAGTTTGATTTCT